TTCTCAGTTTCAGGAGGTCCCATTTATCAGTAGTTGATCTCAGTGTCTGTACTCCTGGTGTTATGTTCAGGAAGCAGTCTCCAGTACCAATTAATTCAAGAGTATTTCCCACTTTGTCTTCTAATAGGTTCAGTGTGGCTGGGTTTATGTTGAGGTCTTTGATCCATTTGGACTTAAGGTTTGTTTGTTTGTTTTATTTTTTTGACATATTAACCAGTTTATTATAGGCCTGCCAGTGTAGGCAAACTAAGAGAAAAGAGAAACAGGGTAAATGGCTTACTGCCTTGGCCGGTCACCATAGAGAGAGAAGAGAAGCAGAAGCAGAGAGAAAAGAGGAGAAGAATAGAGAGTTAGACTTATCCATCCTCAGACCTTGTAACTAGATTCCCAGACCTTCATATATCTTATCTTTTCTATCTTCACATAGATAAACCCCAAAATACCAGTTCCTTAAATCTGTTTTTCTTAAAGTTGGCAAGACTACCAGTCGTCAAAAGCGTCAGAGTTCTTGAGAAAGATAAGATTTTACCTGAATTAATGATTAAAGAATAACAGAGACTTGCCAGCAGGCCAGCCCCAAGGTCCTCCATCCATATTATCAGGCTGCAGGACACCTGCCTTCTAGCTTATAGCATGTGACCTGTGGATTATGGACTACAGAAGGCTCACCTATCTTTGGCCCAAGCAATGCAGGGAAAGTCGATTCCACTGTCCTCTTGTCCACAGTCTTCTGGAGTACTTTGTAGCAGTTGAGGTTAAGGGCAGGGTTTCTCAGTGACTAGTGTTGTCACTGACTCGAGATGAAGTTTCTTTAGTGCCATCAGTCTCCTTGGAGGAAATGGGGTGGGGCCAGCAGCTGGCCTGTCTCTCTGTTATGAAAAGCTTTTTAACAAAACATTTTAAATGCCATGTTCTCTAGATCTCTGAGCATTTGAGGGCTGTCTGTCTGTTTAATATCTCAGCAGTCAAAAATTTGCCTTTAGTTAGAGAAAAATCTCTTTCGTAATAAAAAAGCTATACCTTTGTAAATGGCTTACAGGATGGACTGAGTGGTATAAATATTTTGTTAATTTGAAATAGACCTTTGTGATTTTAAACTTTTATCATCATTTAAAGATACATGAGTTAAATTTAAGTTGTATAGACTTAGTTTATATTTTAAGTATAGTTAAATTAGACCTTTATGGTTTTAAATGTTTACCATCATTTAAAGATACATAGCAATTTAGAAATATGAAACTTAGAACACTTAAAGTTGCATATAGAGTTAGGTAAGTATAAAGTTAAATTTAAATTACATGTACAGAGACAAGCAGGACTGGATAAGAGTAAAAGAGAGAACCAGAATGTAATCTCTGATCTGTACATTGTACCAAACACACAGGAGATTTAAAGGGACAGAGTAGACTTAAACAGAGGGCCCTGGAAAGACACAGATTACTGTAAACAAGCCATGAGCAACAGAGCCAGTGAAAGAAGAAATCATAGACAAAAATAAAATAAAATAAAATAAAAAGTGAAAAGATCTGGCAGCCCGGTTTGCTGGCACAGGCCACTGGAGTGGGCATGCCTACAGGTAGGTCACATGGCCAAGATGGTGGCCCCTAGGTTAGACCACATGGCCAAGATGGTGGTGACCATGAGCCACTTTTTTGTCTGTTTACCTGCCTGTTGGCTGCAACCAGAAAGGTTCTTCTATGCATTCCCCATGGGTGAGGCAAATGGAAAAACCAGCAAAACACTCCTCTCCAGATGCTGTCAGCCCCTGGGAGTTGCCAGGGGTCAGGCCCCACAGGGGACACAGCTGTCCTGAAATGGAAAAGGACTCAGCTGTCTGAGCTGAAAAAGCAAAACATCACCACTCCTGGAGTGGGATCTCAAACCTGACCCGAGGGAAATTCAAGGGATGTCTTACTGGATTGTAGCGAACATGCAGATGAGTGGGATCCAAAGATGGTTAGTTGAAAAAGCAGCGAGTTGAAATGTACATAGTTCCGCCATCTCAGGCCGCTGCAGGCAAGAGGAAGTGTCAGAACAAACCAAGATGAAAGTGGGTTATGAGTTCAGTTTTAGAATCCCTGAAATTTCCCATGCCCCTGGCAGGAGAGGTTACAGAGAAAGCCTATCCTGCCAGCAAGCTGTGAGAGAGCTTAAGGACAGAGCCTAAACTGAGCTGGGTGCCAATGTTAGATTTTTGCTTAAATTAGAAATAAAGAAGAAAAGAGACAGATGATATAAGACTATGAGAAATATTAGACATATTAACTGGTTTATTATAGGCCTGACAGGGTAGTGAGATTAAGAGAGAAGAGAAACCGGGTAAATTTCTGACCGCCATGGTCGGTTGCCATAGAGAGAGAGAGAATAGAGAGACAATGTAGATAGTAGAGAGAGGGTGTAGAGAGAGAACAGACTTAAGTTTTGTGCATGGTGATAGATATGGATCTATCTGCAGTCTTCTACATTCCAGCATCCAGTTATGCCAGAACCATTTGTTGAAGATGCTTTCTTTATTCCATCATATAACTTTAGCTTCTTTGTCAAAAATCAAGTGTTCGTAGGTGTGTGGGTTAATATTAGGGTTTTCAACTCTATTCCATTGGTCTACCTGTCTATTTTTGTGCCAATACCAAGCTGTTTTCAGGACTATAGCTCTGTAATAGAGCTTGAATTCAGGGATGGTGATGCCTCCAGGAGAGTTGTTTTGGCTATGCTGTGTCTGTTGTGTCTCCATATAAAGTTGAGAATTGTTCTTTCAAGGTCTGTGAAGAATTGTGTTGGGATTTTGATGGGGATTGCATTGAATCTGTAGATGGCTTTTGGCAAGATTGCCATTTTTACTATGTTTATGCTACTTATCCAAGAACATGGGAGATCCTTCCATCTTCTGGTATCTTCTTTAATTTCTTTCTTTAGAGACTCTAAATTCTGATGGTACAGGTCTTTCACTTTTTTGGTTACTGTTACCCCAAGGCATTTTATGTTGTTTGTGGTAATTGTAAAGGGTGATGTTTCTCTGATTTTTTTCTCCACGAATGTATCATCTGTATATATTAGGGCTACAGATTTTTTGAGTTAATCTTATATCCTGCCACTTTGCTGAAGAGACTCTAAATTCTGATGGTACAGGTCTTTCACTTTTTTGGTTACTGTTACCCCAAGGCATTTTATGTTGTTTGTGGTAATTGTAAAGGGTGATGTTTCTCTGATTTTTTTCTCCACGAATGTATCATCTGTATATATTAGGGCTACAGATTTTTTGAGTTAATCTTATATCCTGCCACTTTGCTGAAGGTGTTTATCATCTGTAGGAGTTCCCTGGTAGAGTTTTTTGGTCACTTATGTAAATTATCATATCATCTGCAAATAGTGAAAGTTTGACTTCTTCCTTTCCAATTTGTATCCCCTGGATAGCGTTTTGTTGTCTTATTGCTCTAGCTAGAACTTCAAGG